AAGGGAACAGAGACGCAAAAAAGGAAGTATATCGGTGTGGTGAGGGAGAAAAATGCCAGGCAAGAGGGGAACAGGGACGCAAAAGAGGAAGTATATCGGTGTGGTGAGGGAGAAAAATGCCAGGCAAGAGGGGAACAGGGACGCAAAAAAGGAAGTATATCGGTGTGGTGAGGGAGAAAAATGCCAGGCAAGAGGGGAACAGGGACGCAAAAGAGGAAGTATATCGGTGTGGTGAGGGAGAAAAATGCCAGGCAAGAGGGGAACAGGGACGCAAAAGAGGAAGTATATCGGCGTGGTGAGGGAGAACATGTGGGTAGCTGGAGTGACGGGAGCTGCAGAAGGTGAGATGGGGACAGAGGATGCACTGTGGCGCCCCCTAAGGTGAGCAGCTGAAAGAAGATTATTGTAAGTTTCCAGGTCTTTTGTACGCGATCACTGTAATAACTTCAGTTAGAGAAACTTTTCGCACATCCGACTGCTTATTCTGGTCTGGAGCCTGTCCCAGGCAGCAGACGGTAGACAGTGAAGGTACACACCGGATAGGATGCCAGCCCCAAGTCAGGCCACACACACACACAATAGGGGCACCAGTCCGCCCCTGGACGTCAGTGTAGCTGGAGGAAGCTCACACAACTTAGACAAAACATGTAAACCCCACACACACCGAGTAGAGACGGGATTCAAACCCACAACTCTGCAGGTATAAAGCATCAGTGCTGCACACTATTCTTCTATATACCAAACTCATTTTTTGAATGAAACGGAGCTTAATGGGATGCCTTTTTATCCCTCACTACATGATGGCCAGTGTATTTCATTTTAAAAAATGTATAAATAAAAAAGTTAAAAAGTTTTAGAAATAGTAAAAAGTTTCCTCCAGATGAGTAGGTCCTGCATCTATAATTATCAAATGTTTATACACACATTCATTAATGTAAAAGCACATGGCATAGAGAAAATTCACAAAACTGTTTTTTTGAGCCAGCAACCCAGAAATTAAGGTACATTTCCTCCACCTTCATTTACACACTGCAGCACACATCCTTCACAAATAAATAAGGTAAAACAAAGCAGTCTGCTACAGAGGATATCAGAGACCCACAACCACAGAAAGCATGAGGCGTCTATTCTATGGTTCTTCTTATTACCTCACTGTTCTTAGGCATGTGACCCCCTCTCACCCCCCAAAAAAGTCTTAGTTGATTTAGTTGGAAAGTTACAAATTGTATATATAACTCTTAGCTGAAATACAGGCAAAGTGCGTCACACAATATGCTGCCCTCGTGGACGTGTCCCCTTGCAGGACTAGACAGCTAGTTAACACTCAACATCTTCCAATAAATGACAAGGCTTGAGTTTTCATGACTCTCTACTAGACTTCCTTGATTTCTTTTTCGTAAAACCATACACATGCAAAAGTAAAAATACATATGTACAATTATTAACAGTAAATAGAATATAACTAATTAAAATCACATGCAACTAAGTTCTGCGCAACAATGAAGTCTGAAAAGGCGATCACTGTGTAATATTATAAAACTCTCAATTTCAGCACGTACAGCAACAGAAGTTACCACGTGTTAGCTTACACAATCCAAAACAAAATTGACGTATAACTGAAATACTCCTGCCATACAGAATACTGTTAAGTAGACATATTTATCCCAAATTAAATTAAACACATTCACTTACAGATGAATGATATCCAAAGTAAAGTGTGACGAGAAAAAAACGTTGCAGAGAAACAGAAGCTGCGTTCACAGCCATGCTTACTAACCTGAACTAAACGAACTTCCTGTCGGCCTGCAACATTTTACAATAAAATAAATCATCACTAGGTGGCAGCATAATGCTATAAAATACAGTGCCATACGACGCTTCACATCTAAATGCAAAAAGAACAGTACTTCATACAAAAAAAATTAAAGCTCATATAAAACTGCAGTATAAGACTATTGGAAGTAAAATAATTAACAATTATGCTTATCGCCCCTCCCCTTATGTCCATTATATGTACACTTTGCTTAATTTATATTTAATTTATATTTACTGTATGCAACCAAGTCTCCCCTTGCCAAAAAATAAATATCTACTTCTAAGTCCTCGATTATACTACGGTGACATATTTAGGACCATAGGACCAGCCTATGAAGACCTGCGTGAAGTTGGCCCCCTATATGTTTCAGATTTCAACCAAACTGGTCTCAATCGTATGTGCCGCGTTTGTGCCGGATTGTGCCGTTAAAATTTTTGTTTGTGCTGTTTTAGTTTCTGAGATATAAATGTGTGTTAACATGGTGACGTCATCAGCGTGAAGTTGGCCCCCCATTTGTGTCTGATTTCCACCAAACCGATCGCAATCGTATATGTACTGCGTTTGTGCTGGTTTGTGCCGGTAAAACTGTCCTTTGTGCTGCTTTAGTTTCTGAGATATTAATGTTTGAAATGTTGTCCCCCCTCCCATTTGCGTCTGATTTCGACCAAACCGATCGCAATAGTTTGTGCCGTTTAAATGTTGTCTGTATTGTTATTTTTCTGAGTTATACCTCTTAGTTTATGCCTTTACGTGATCACCGTATAGTGCTCAAGCTCATGTTTCTCATGTTAACAGAAGGTGGAGCGTTTGATGACTACGCCACAAAGCTGCACGTAGACTTAGTCAGCCCCGCCAGCCAGATACCGCATTTTAGGATCGTGCTGAATAAATTCAGGTTCTCAGCGGCTAACACCCATATGCGTTTCATATGTAGCACTTTGTATTCATTTTATGCTGCTATTTAATAAGTGGGCGCTGTATTTTCACATGAGCAATGCACGTGGATTGGAATACACACACGCACACACACAGGTTTGTAATCATATCTTTGTGGGGACTCTCCTTTCATTTCTGTGGGGAAAACTCACACAACATGACGACCTTAACCCCTACCCAGCCCTAACCTTAGCCATAAGTAACCAAACAAAATACAAGAGTTTGGGCATTTTTATTTATTTGATCGCATTCCCAGATCTTTGTGGGGACATAAAAATGTTTTTTTATTACATTGTGGGGGGGTGGAGGGGGGATTTGTTTCCCACAATGTAATATAAACCTAATCCACACATACTCCTCATAAAGAAAAACGTTACAAAGGAAAAGATGCATTATGGTACATAACAAAATCTTATCAGAAGGTTGTGGAGAATGACATGAATACAAAGATACAGTACTGTGCAAAAGACTTAGGCAGGCAAAGAAAATGATGTTTAGATTATCCTAACGGCTGAGGTGCCCCTGAGGAGAGGTTTGGGAACTGAAGCGGTGATCATACAGCCATCCAACTAGATATCAGTAACTTTTTAGAAAACAGAAGAAATTATTACTAGTTTTTAAATTGTGTTACTCTTAATTTGCATATGATCTAATGTTAAATTGTGTTTTTGTTCTAAGCCAAAGTACACTTGCTACCCAGATAAACAGCTTTAAACATTTCTTTGGACTGCCTAAGACTTTTGCACAGTACTGTATATACAGTGAGAGCACAGGGTCAGGGGTCATTTTTCAGGCTGCTAAGGGCCTTTGCTGAAGGGTCCTGCAATGATGAGACTGTTCTGCTGGGCACAGGATTCAGACCAGCGACCTTCCAATCACAGACACAGAGGTCTAACCCACTGAGCCACACACACCAGCCCCCATGAAGGCAGCAGCTTCTTAACAAGAAATTAACAGCATCCATTTCCAGGGTCAAACCAGGGCTTCACAGAACTGCAGTTTGGCGCAGGATCAGTCTCCTGAACCGGGCGATGCAGTAACTCTGGTGAAGAACAGAGGTGTGATTAAGCAATCAGTGTCAACCACATACAGATCAAACCACTGCTGTGAACAGTCTGTCAACTGTTATCCTTAACTGTCATTCTTGGAATAAATACATTTCTGTTAGAACACACCAGTCACTCTGTATGTATATAATAGCGTAAGGTGTTTTCAAAGTGCATTAAAAGTATAATCACCGTCACATTCTCCACTGTCGGGGGGCTGCCGGCATATACAGAGGATCCTGCGTAATGCTGCCAGGCAAGACAAGATGAGCTCTTTCGGACTGTCTGTCAATGAAAGCAAGAGTAGAAATGAAATGCACAAGAAACACATTTAAGATACAGGCCTACAATAGCATGTACCGCTGTGGAGTTGGACTTCCTACATTCAGAAGAATGAGTGGAATAGTGCCACTGTGCTGTTTATGAAAATGTATTTTAATACAAATGTATTTTATCACACGCGTTTCAAATCAAACCAAATCGAATCAAATGCACAGCAGTCATGCACAGATGAATGCAGGCAATAAAATGACTTTTTCAGAGAGCTCAGTAGGCTATAATAAATAAAAGAAAATAAATACAATAGTAGGCCTATATAGTAAATTAAAAATATATTTTTTTAAATTAGAAAACAGAAATGTGCAAATTGTCCATGCTAATTGCCTGATCAGCTATTAGTTGAGGGTAGAACTTGGTGCGGAACCTGTGTGTTCGTGCTCCGATGCTGCGATACAGTTTCCCCTGACAGCAGGAGTTAAATCTATTTGTGGCTGGGGTTTGTAGGCTCCTCGCGCGCCTGGAAGTAGAGGTCTGCAACGGGGCGGGACGCGGCGCAAAAGCTTGCGGGAGCGGGCTGAAATCAGTCCCGTGCAGACCTCTACCTGGAAGCTGTGACGCAGATCCCGACGCTACAACCACGCCCTCCTGCAGGGAATCCCGCCCCTAAATAGGGTCTACAGCCGCCTATGCTCCGCAATAAAGACAGCTGTCTTAAAATCTCCACGTATACAACGGAGATTAATACCGACATTATAATGCTGTTATTTAATCAGACCGCAGAGTTACATCGGTAAGTTTTCCCCTCGTTTCGGCTGCTTTACGGACACGCTGTGTGACGGCAGGCGATGCTTCAGCTCAGCCTGTGCTCGGAAAATCGCTGGTTCAGATCCTGTCCATCAAGTCACTTCAACCGCTGGGTCCTTAGCGGCTACTAATACAGACCAGTAGAGCCAAAGCTCTGTTTCGACCATTAAGTGTAACACAGAACAGAATTGGAACTAAATTAGAATTTAAGGCGGTCCTTAAGTAGGCCTATATAAATGAGTGACACTGAAGTAACGGTGTAGTCAAAATTTCGAGGTTTTCATTTCAAGTCAACTGTCAACGAGATCAAACTTTCAGAAACTTACCTGTTATATCATGCAGTACCGCAGTGAGACAAAAAAAGACAGCAACATTTTACCTGATCGTGTTTGTGTACCCCGGTCAAATGAATACGCTCTTGAAAGTTTGGCAGCGATTAAGGAACCAAATTATCAAACATCGGCAACTCTGACCAGGCTAAGAAGTCGTAAGACGAACAGACTATATGAAACACCTCCTTCAAAGAATTCCGTATTATCGTGCTCGAACTTACTGAACACACTCATGATAGCAGTAAGCACCCAGCTCTTCGTGGGGGAAGCCGGCAGCCTCCGACCGCGGTGAGACACAGAACTACACGGACTTTCGAGCAGAGGTTGGTCCTTTTCCTCCTTACGCCCCTGCGAATAGATAACAAGTCTTGATTACTAATAACAAGAAACCGCGCTGCCTGCCCCGGTCTTGTAATATAATATTTAAAGTGCGAAGCCGAGGATTGCTTGCTTACTTGCCTGCTCGCTTACTTGCCTGCTCGCTTTCCACTGACTCTCTCTCAATTTTTGGTCGGAAATACTTCGTAGGCGTGGCTTCAGTGCGTCTATCCAGGGCCGCCGAGAGAAAATCCGGGCCCCTGTACGAAGAAGGTGTGTGGGCCCTTATACAAAATTCTACGCACATAGAATGAACAGGTGAGAACACTCGTTGATAGTCACTTTCACAAGTTTTTATGCATTGACCGCTGCCAAATACCCTGTGACCCACGTGCATTTTTAATTTTGAAACTAAACAGACTTGCAAATTTTTAAAAAAGACAATAAAATATAAATGGATAAATGTTCAAATTACAGTGATTCCTGCCTATCGCGTTCCAGACCCATCAGCGAATCCATGGTATAGAAAGACCATATAAATAAACATTTTTTTTTATATATATATAATATACAGTACTGTGCAAAAGTCTTAGGCAGTCCAAAGAAATGTTTAAAGCTGTTTATCTGGGTAGCAAGTGTACTTTGGCTTAGACCAAAAAACACAATTTCACATTAGAACATGTGCAAATTAAGAGTAACACAACAAAAACTAGTAATAATTTCTTCTGTTTTCTAAAAAGTTACTGATATCTAGTTGGATGGCTAGATGAACACCGCTTCAGTTCCCAAACTTCTCCTCAGGGGCACCTCAACCGTTCCATGATTTTGTTAAATTTCACCAACAGCTCAATTAAATAATTAAATAAATTGGTTTAAAAAGTCAGTGACAGATTGCCTAGCTGTATGAGGTGTGCTAGTGGCCAAGTCAAAAAATACATGGCTGCACTGGATGGTCGCTGCAAATACTGGTGATTTCAGCAGAGGTTCTGAAATGGCTACGCTGACACACTTTGACAGGCATGATATCATAGTTTTACACCAACACGAGGATAATCACAGCACATGTAAACTTATTAAAACACACATTGTAAACACATATGATATATGGATGTCGGGCTAAGGATATGAGTAACATAATGATAATAATAATAATAACATGTAATATATATATGTATATTTAGTTATGTTATAGTTATTATAAATTATAATATGTATTGTTCTAACAAACTCTTGTCTAGTACGCGTACTGAAAATTACATATGTTCCACAGAAAAATCCGCGATAGCTGAACCACAGTATAGCTTGGGGATCATTGTATAATAAAAATGATGGGACGCGTTGTGCTTCATGGGCCCCCTTGAGCTTCATAGGCCCCAGAGTAATGTACCGGCTGCACCCCCCTCTCCTCGGGCCTGCATGTATCTCAAGTGTTCTACCGATTTCCCCATTGAAGTCGTTTCAGTCCTAATCATTGGAATCGGCAAGGACTTATTCAGATGCACAGCATATTCGATACCTTACTATGCACGACGTGTGAAAGATGATCAGTTTTCAATATGGTATGTTGCGTAGGCCAGTTTATCTTTGAAGCCAGTTTATGCCATCATGCAGGATTACAGGGATTAATTGACTGCATGCTTTTTTTTTAGATTGTCACACATCACTGTATTCTTTTCCACTTCTTGCTTAGGAATGTGCCAACCCTGCCCTGTCCTGCCCTCTCATGTCCCTAGGAGTCACGCAGGCTGGGTGCAGGCCCTGCTCTCTCCGGTACACACACAGGCCATGCAGGCTGTGGAATTAGGCCCTGCTCTTTTCCAGCGCAGGCAGGCGGGCCGGTCTCATGCCCAGTCTGCAGGATACACAAACCGCCAAGCTTACCCTCTTCTCACCTGCACAGTCTGGACCACACAGGCAGGCTGGAAGGAAGTATTAGTGGGCGAAGAATCCGACGCTTGGTGAATTGTGCTTCATAATGAAATCTAAAAGTATAATTGCTATGAACACTTGGCTGCCACAAGCCAGTTACCCCTGTGGTAACTTTTCTGACACCTCCTGCTTAAAACCCAAAAAGCCAGAAGGATCGTGAGGCCCCGCTTTCACGGTCTGTATTCATACTGAAAATCAAGATCAAGCGAGCTTTTGCCCTTCTGCTCCATGGCAGTTCTCCGTCCTCCCTGAGCTCGCCTTAGGACACCTGCGTTACCGTTTGACAGGTGTACCAACCCAGTCCAACTCCCCACCTGCCACTATTCCTGAAGCGGGTCGCACTGACTCCTGAGGCCTACAAGGTTCAGGAGCAGGCTGGAATATGCAAGTAGGCTTTGCTATATGGAGCCATTTCACCAGCGCTACACTGCCCCCCCCCCCCCCCGAAGTTGACTGTCCTGATGACCACCATATACAGCCTGCACCTCAACTTTGGAACAAGTTCCAGAGATCTGATAGCAGCCGCCGGTGCATCATATCCAATGATGTGGGGAGCTGCCCACTCACAAGCTCTAGCAAGGCTGAGGAGACCAGGAGGCTGGCGGATGGTGGGCTGCAGACAGGCTCTGGCATTGCAGGTCCCCCACAAGCTAGAAGTCATTTGTGTAACAGGAATGCTCCTTACATAAACTCTTATTAGACAATCATGACTTCTATCTTAAGTTAATCCAGCTAATGAGGGTTGTGGCCATTCCAGAATGCATTCATCAACTCCAATCCAAATCAAGAAATTGAACTGGAGTTGGTATTGGAAGAAAAACTATGGGGAACAGAATTGGAACTGAATTAGAATTTCAGGGATTCCACTTCCATTTCCTGATTTTGACAGGAATTGATGAATGCATTCCGGAATAGCCTCAACCCTGCAGCTAACAGAAATCCTGCTTCGTGGAACCCCCCCTAGCTAGCGACAAAGTTTAAACATTGAATCTATAGTGTGTGAAGTTTCCCTGACTTGCTTGGTGATACCAAGAACAGTTGGCTGCCAGCTTAGGCAAACTTCGTTTTCAACTTGAAACATTTTAATTAACTTTTTAGAAGAATACTCATTACTCTTAATGTGGCCTATTCCCACAAAGTATAAACCAACCACGTGTGTAGGGTGACAATATTACCGTGATGACAGTTACGGGAAAGGAAATTCGAAACTCTCTTGCTGGCACTGCAAATATATTTGCGCAGTTGCACAGGGCCTGGTTTTGTTAAAGATGATGATAGATAGATAGATAGATAGATAGATAGATAGATAGATAGATAGATAGATAGATAGATAGATGATAGATAGATAGATAGATTGATAGATAGATAGATAGATAGATAGATAGATAGATAGATAGATAGATAGATGATAGATAGATAGATAGATAGATAGATAGATAGATAGA